AGGCTGGCTCACCGCGTGATGTTGCTGACGAACTTCTTGTCGTCCACCACCACGCTGAGCTGGCAGGCGCGCGGCGCGAAGACGTGCAGCGGCTCGGGGAACATCGGCAGCTTCTCTCCGGGCGCCGCCGCCAGAACGATGGCTCTGCGCCGCGTCTGCGCCACGCCGTACTGCCCCGCCTGCGGGCAACGGCGGGCAGGCAGTGGGCAAGCAGTGGGCAACCGACGGGCAACCAGTGGGCAAGCAGTGGGCAAGCAGTGGGCAGCCATCGGGCAACCGGTGGGCAAGTGATGGGCAACCATTGGGTAACCATTGGGGAACCAGTGGACAACCGGTGGGCAACTGGTGGGCAACCAGCGGGCAACCGGTGGGCAAGCAGTGGGCAAGCAGTGGGCAACTGATGGGCAACTGATGGGCAGCCATTGGGCAACCATTGGGCAACCAGTGGACAACCAGTGGGCAACTGATGGGCAACCAGTGGGCAACCATTGGGCAACTGGTGGGCAACCAATGGGTAACTATTGGGCAACCATTGGGCAACCAGTGGACAACCGGTGGGCAACTGGTGGGCAACCAGCGGGCAACCGGTGGGCAAGCAGTGGGCAACCACTGGGCAACCAGTGGGCAGCCATTGGGCAACCGATGGGCAACCGGTGGGCAAGTGATGGGCAACCATTGGGTAACCAGTGGACAACCGGTGGGCAACCGGTGGGCAACCAGCGGGCAACTGACGAGCAACCATTAGGTAACCATTGGGCAACCAGAGGGCAAGTGGTGAGCAACCAGGAGATACTGATGGCCTTTGTGGCCACCAGGGCACGCTGTTGGCTCGCAATCAACTGCTGGTCAACCAGGACACCATCAGCCTTCTTGGCCACCAGGGAACACTCAGATCATGGTCAACCCAGCTGGCTACCATTGGCCCTCCTGGCCACCACAGCACTCTGCTGGCTCATGGTCAACCATTGGTCAACCAGGACACTGATGGCCTTTGTGGCCATGAGAGCACACTGGTGGCTCACGGTCAACCCTGTTGGCCAACACTGGCCCTCCTGGCTACCTGGGCACTCCTTTGGCTCATGGTCAACTGTTGGCCAACTACTGGTCAACCAGGACACATTGATGGCCTTAGTGGCCACCAGGGCACCCTGTTGACACACAGTCAACCATTGGTCAACCACTGGCCAACTGTTGGTCAACTGTTGGCCAACCACTGGTCAACTAGGAGACACCACTGACCTTTGTGGCCATGAGGGCACACTGCTGGCTCACCATCAACCCAGTTGGCCACCAGTGGCTCTCCTGGCCACCAGGACACAGTGTTGGCTCATGGTCAACTCTGTTGGCCACCGATGGCCTTCTTGGCCACCAGGGCACTCTGCTGGTTCATAGTCAACTGTTAGTCAACTACAACACCACTGACCTTTGTGACCATGAGGGCACACTGCTGGCTCACCGTCAACACAGCTGGCCACCAGTGGCCCTCTTGGCCACAAGAGGACGCCACTGTCTCATCGTCAAGCAATGGTCAACTGTTGGTCAACTGTTGGTCAACTGTTGGTCAACCGTTGGTCAACCACGACACTGATGGCCTTTGTGGCCACGAGGGTGCACAGCTGGCCCAGAGTCAACGCAGCTGGCCATCAGTGGCCCTCTTGGCCACAAGAAAACGCCACTGTCTCATCACCAAGCAATGGTCAACTGTTGGTCAACCGTTGGTCAACCACGACACTGATGGCCTTTGTGGCCACGAGGGCACACTGCTGGCTCACAGTCAACCCAGCTGGCCACCAGTGGCCCTTCTGGCCATAAGAGAACACCACTGTCTCATAGTCAACCAATAGTCAACCAATGGTCAACCGTTGGTCAACCATTGGTCAACCATGACGCTGATGGCCTTTGTGGCCACAAGGGCACACTGCTGACTCACAGTCAACGCAGCTGGCCACCAGTGGCCCTTTTGGCCACAAGAGGATGCCACCGTCTCATTGTCAAGCAATGGTCAACTGTTGGTCAAGCGTTGGTCAACCACAACACTGATGGCCTTTGTGGCCACGAGGGCACACTGCTGGCTCACAGTCAACACAGCTGGCCACCAGTAGCCCTTCTGGCCACAAGAGAACACCACTGTCTCATAGTCAACCAATAGTCAACCAATGGTCAACCGTTGGTCAACCATTGGTCAACCACGATGCTGATGGCCTTTGTGGCCACGAGGGCACACTGTAGGCTCACAATCAATGCAGCTGGCCACCATTGGCCTTCTTGGCCACAAGAGAACACCACTGTCTCATAGTCAACCAATAGTCAACAGATAGTCAACCAATGGTCAACCATTGGTCAACCACGACACTGACGGCCTTTGTGGCTACGAGGGCACATTGCTGGCTCGCAGTCAACACAGCTGGCCACCAGTGGCCCTTTTGGCCACAAGAGGACGCCACTGTCTCATCATCAAGCAGTGGTCAACTGTTGGTCAACCGTTGGTCAACCACGACACTGATGGCCTTTGTGGCCACGAGGGCACACTGCTGGCTCACAGTCAACACAGCTGGCCACCAGTGGCCCTCTTGGCCACCACGGCGCGGTTCCTCGTGCCCCAAACCCACCTGCAGGACCCCGAAGGTGCACTGGTAGCCCATGCGGACGAGGCAGCGCAGCGTCAGCTTCAGCACCATGGAACGTTTGAAGGAGACGAAATTGCGGACGTTCTCCAGGAGGAAGAAGCGCGGGCGGTAATAATCGCAGTAGCTGCCCCAGGGGTGGGAGGGTGGGAGGAGGGGGGGACAAACATTTATGGACGTGAGACTCAATTTTGGGGACGAAACCCCCCCAAAAAAGACCCCCGTCCCTCTACCTGAGGAAGGAGACCACCAGGGAGTTCTTGAACTTGGAGTAGGTGCGGGAGTTGAAGCGGTTCATGCCGCTGAAGCCCTGGCACGGGGGTCCTCCGCAGAGCATCTCCACGTCCCCCTTCTGAGGCAGTTTCTGCCCCAGGGAGTTGGTTTTCTCGCCGGACATCACCAACTTGAGCAGAACGTTGCAGTCCTCCGTGAACACCGTGGTGCCGGGGTTGTTGAGGCGGAACGCCTGCGCCGCCGGCTCCCACATCTCGATGGCCCACAGCGTCTCCGATACGCCTGGAAACGGACGGGAGCGGGTGACGATACGGGGTCGGATGTGGGGCTGGATGTGGGGCTGGGAGGGGGGAGAAGCGAATGCCGCCGCTCACCTGCCTGGTGGAAGCCCTCCGAGAGCCCCCCGCAGCCGGAGAACACGTCCAGGGTGCGCAGCTTGGGCAGCTTCAGCTCGACGGGTTCGGGTTCGCTCTGCTCGCAGGAGGACGACGATTTCCCTTTGCCTTTCCCTGCGGATGAAGACCCCGAGGGGTGAAGTCGACCCCTCCCCTCCCACGGGGGGAATCCTTCCTTCCCCCTCCTCCGTCATTACGCCAATGCTGCCGACGGTTCTTCCCCCGCAGCGCGGCGCAGCCATGGGGCGTCCAGGCCATAAAACAGGGGGGTGCTTGGGGGGGAGGGTCCTTACAGGTCGGCTAGGGAAGAGTTGGGGTGGGTTGGGTTAAGTTGGGGTGGGGTGGGAAGGTCCTTACAGGTCAACTAGGGAATGGCTGGGGTGGAAGGGTCCTTACAGGTCAACTAGGGAATGGTTGGGGTGGGAAGGTCCTTACAGGTCAACTAGGGAATGGCTGGGGTGGAAGGGTCCTTACAGGTCAACT